ACTATTAGATTTTAGTTATGCACTTAGATCACCTCCATCGATTAATTAACTGGTTAGAATCCGTGACTTTGAGTCACGATCCAATAAATTGAGTTTGTTTCAATTAGCAATTTAACATGGCTTTCCCTTCTCTCTCTTTTTTAAAGTTTAACAAAAGAAAATAACATGGGAAATTGACAAAACTAACATAAAAAAAAAATTATAATCTAGAATCTAACCAAAAACACTACATCCAATGGTTATGATTTTGTCACATACCCCGTTTTACTTATTTTTTAATTTATTTTTTTGGTTGTTCATGCAATTAACCCAAAAACATTGTCTAATTCCAAGGCAAGTGCATTTTTAATTGACTTACGAGTGGTTTTATTTTTTTTTAAAACATAATTCCAACTACATAAAAAATTCTCCAATTTAATAAAAAAACAACATAATATTATGAATACATGCAAACATGATTTTAAAATAAACATAATATTTTTATAATAATACCAAGAAATGACTGATTTTTTTTGTCACAAAAAAGAATGAAAATAATTATGTTTATGTATTCGTTCATCTATTCAAGATCACATCACATGATGCATTTTATGCACTTCTTTTTTTTTTTGGATATTTCATTTCATGCACTTGAGTGCGAACATATCTCCCTGCAGAAGGTGATAACAGATTAATGGACCCTTTTGGAAATATATATACGACATATATTTTTAAAATATGTAAAGATTATTATTTTTTGTTTGTTAAAAATATAGCAACTTAAACTAAAGTTTGTAACAGTTGACTCATAAATACACTAGAGTTTTAATAATATGATAAAGACAAATACCAACCAAAGCGTATAGCAGCATCGTACCTATAAATAAACCTATCATGAATGTGTTAAATGAGTAAGTTATTCTACGAGATAGGTTAATTAGTTTAGGTCCTACGACTCCTACCCAAGTAATGTATACTTATATTCAGGGCCGGCCCTATGGTTTGAGCCACCTAAAGCAAAAGAAAAAAAAATTTGGCCCAAAAACAAGCCAATATATATAAAACATAAAACTGCAGCTTGGAAAATTCAAACCCACAAAAAGAAACTCCAAAACTGGCG